CCTTACCCATCGATGTGGTATGTTGGGGGTCGAGCGGTTGGTGTAATGCGCGCCTTTGGGGAGGTGTGTCCTGTTGCCGGTAAGCCCTCGGCTTTAATATGCGTGCCCCGCGATTATAAATACCGTCATTGAGTAGCCTGTGTTTTTGTAGTTGGGGAGGTGGTGAAGGCAGGTCCAGCGGTGTTATAAGTCCTCATGCTGGCGGTAGGTATATCGGGGATATTAGCGGGGTTATTCATTGTTAGTGTGACCTGTAATTATTTTAATATACAGTGGTACCTCGGTTCTCGAACTTAATCCGTTCCGGACTCCTGATCGAATCCTAAAAAGCTCGAGTTCTGATCGAATTTTCCCCTTAAGAAATAATGGAAAACCAATTCATTGGTTCCCGGCCCCCCAAAATTACACCTAAATTTGTTTTTTGTTTTTTTTTTAGCATTTAAACACAAAATGAACAGGATAAAACAAGAAGAGCATTTTTTTCTTAATGGCTTCCAAAACAATAAAGATCTAATCCCAACATTGCCCCTGTCCTTCCGTGTGCCACGCCCCCTCGTTAACCTCGTGTGGAATCCCCATGTAATCAGCTGTTTCTGGTTGTTGTCATTAGCACCGGAGTTGGTGACCTCCAAAAAAGCCGTAAAACCCACAATACAGTCGTGTTTATGTCATATGTTTTTGTGCTTATTAAATTTAAGTGTTTCCAACACAACAGTAATAAAATAAGTCTTGCTTTAACATAAATACTAAAAGGTATAGCACCGCGGTGATGTTGGTTTTATGTTCGATATTCGCTACATTTACTGACATCTAAACGGCAATATTTTCGGGATCATGACGGCAATTCTTTTCAGATTAGGCTCTACATGTGAAGTCAAACGAGGAAAATATTTCACACTTTAAGTTAGCTCCACATTCTCCAGCAATATGAATTAAATATACAAAGCAAGATGGGAATATCCTTCTGCTCACACAAAACTGCCGGAAAATTTAGGGACCGTCTTGAAAGTGCAATGCCAATCAGCATAACACCACTTGTACAGTATGTGTCCTATAACCGTCTATCAATATTGCAGTTGGATAAATTGTAATACCTCCTTAATTTTTAAGCCAATAAACATCAAACCAAATTCAGTGTGTTCCTCTGGCCCTCTCTCATCTTTCACACCATATGAGGAAATTTTCACGCCCATCTATTTTCCAGAACACCAGCTCTATGTGACCTATAACCGTGTGTCAATATTGCAGTTGGATAAATTGTAATAACTCTTTGTTTTTTAAACCAATCAACATCAAACCATGTTTAATGAGTTCCTCTGGCCCTCTCTCATCTTTCACACCCTTTCAGGAAATTTTCACACCTATCTATTTTCCAGAACACCAGTGATGTCACATGTGACCTATAACCGTGTATAATAAAATGGTAGGGGAAACACTGTAAATTCATCACATATGACACTCACCAAACAGAGGATGCCAAATTCACCACACATGATGATGTTAAGCTAATCACAGGTGATGTTAAACTCACTCACAACAGATGATGCTAAACTAACTACAGATGATGTTACATTCACCATATATGATGCTGAACGCAGCAAAGATGATGCAAAACTCACCACAGATGATGCTAAACCATGTGTGGGCAATCTAATCCAGAATGGGCCGCTGGGTATGCAGGTTTTCTCTGACACTCCCTAATTAGATTACAAATCAGAGGACTGATTGACTGAAGAGTCCTGATACTTGGGTTTGAGTAGCTGACCTAAAGGTCATTCCAAAAACCTGCATACATACTGGCCATTTGGGGATAAGATTGGTCACCTCAGGTGATGTTTAACACAGCATAGATGATGTTAAACTTATTACAAATTTTGTCACACGCACCACAGATGATATTGAATTCATCACAAATGATGTTCAACTCACCACAGATGATGTCCAGAGCGCAGAGTGTGATATGGTTGAAGCAGTTGAATGGGCCCTGGCCAGCCGCCTTCTCCAGCTTCCCCATAAGCACCTCTGCCTGCTCGTTCATGACCTCCAGGAACTCAGTCAGGATAGAGAAGTGGAAGGTGGGGGTCAGCATCTTCCTCCGGTTGCGCCACTTGTCCCCGGTGCTGAAACCAGGCCAAGGGAGGTTCAAAACTCATACTAATGGCTCAACCAACTGAATCAAGGAGTTTTGGATCAAATCAAACCCATTTACTGCCGTCATCATTATCACTGCTGCAGAACTCCCAGACTCATTTAACAAGCTGAAACGCTACTGGCTGCTCATATAGGTGGGTTTGATAGATTCTAATTGTGAACAATTACCACAGGCTGACTGCCCTACACACTCTGTCAGATGATCGAGATTCAATGCCAGGACATGGGGCTCCACAATGAGCCCCCATAAGGCAGGCTGAAGCCAGCATTCCACTCGGAGAGCCCACCTGGTCAGGAGACCGGTGCCGAGCCACGGATGGAGGAACCTGTAGACATATGATTTGTCCATGTGCTTGGGGTTGTTCAGCACCATCTGCGACACACAGGACACGCTGCCATGTCACATCATCAAGCGGTTTGTACTGTATGCATGTCATTCTGTGTCATTTCCCGGTACTTCAGTGACAAGGGATTTAACGGGTCCCGTTACCTCAACGTTTTCAGCATGGAACAGGACAAGAAATGGTACCGGTCCAATCCACAACTTCATCAGTGGCTCTTTCTTGAACTGTTCAGTCAGCTGGACTAGCTGGCAGAAGAATTCTGTTGTAACATTTAAAGCAACCTTGAGTTGTACAGCAGCAAAAAAGACCTACACTGTAGGGATGAGTTACTCCTGCAGTATTGATGATAAGAATAAGGATGCTAATGGTAGGGATGGAGTTGTCGAGGGTATTACTTTATGTTGTAAATCTGTGCTGTTTAGCTACATGCTGAAGTCAAATTCTACACGACGTGGTGAAGATCAGGAGACTGTGCAGCCATAAACTGCTAATGTGAATGCGATGCCCTGATAATGAGCTTTCCGGTTTGACTAAAGTGGTAAGAATACATCCTCAACGATGTGAAACCCTCTCACCTCCAGCGCTGGATTTGAAATAGAGCGCGTTGCCCAGGATCGGGTAGGTCTGATCCAGCCCGGGAATGGGCTTCATCTCCTTCCATTTGTGCATAAACCTGCTGAGTAACTGGTACATGACATAAGTCACAAAGGCGACCAAAAGCGTCACGATGAAGGACGCCACGGTGTAGGATCCCAGCACCAGAGCCATCTCTGCGTTTCACTGCAGCTTCTGTGTCCGTCTCTATCCCCCGAACTTTACACCAAGCGCTTCCTGACTCTGGCTCATAAATATCATCTGAATAATGATTAGCCAGTATAGCGACGGGGACGTGGAAACCGTGGACATGGACTTGAGACTAAGTGAATCAGGTCCCACTGGAACCTGACCTGAAATGGTCAGTTGAACCAGCTTTTGACAGTTTTCATTAAGAGTGTGTAGATTAAAGGGCAGCCAACCAGCAGGCATAATACGTTACATAAATAACTCAACAAATAAACATAAAAAATAAAACAGAAAAATAAATAAATACCCAGTGTGAATTTTGCTGTACTATATACATATGTATAATGCATGGCTCTGATCTGAACATTAAAACCATCTATGTCTGAACCAGATCAGATCAGATCATCCTTATTGATCCCAGAGAGGAATTACAGTACATGCAGCAGTGAGGTTTGTTGAGCACTGATAAATATACATACAGAGTGAGGGACAAGGTACAAGGCCAGTATGCATAGTATGATAACTTCAGAGAAAAGCATGTTTATCCAAACGGACTTTGCACATGCACTGAAGCCATGAATCTGACAACGGCTGCGTAACAAAAATGCTCTTTATTATCATCAAAAATGTTTCATCTTAGAGTCACATGGTCAATCCCAGCATGCAAAGCAGCACTGGGTTCCCACAGCTAAAAATTGTTCGTGGTCACGAACCAGCCTTCTAATGGAATGGCAGTTTCCTCTGCTGAATCTTTCCACCTCGTGTCACCCTCTTCTGATCCTTCCATCCCTTAAAAAGAAGCTTAACCATAAATATCTCCCACGAAAGCATCTCCCACCCACGCTTCCTCGAAGACGCCACAAGCCCATCCACATCCCGGTCTGCAGGAGACGCCTCAAGTCTTGTGCACGCGATTGGTGGAGCCCAGCGCCCCCTTGAGGCTGAGGCGGAAAGCGGGCCTGCGGGCACGCTCGGGGGGCCAGCGCAGCAGACAGGAGCGGCGCAACATGCCACGTCGCAGCAACAGCGCCCGGCTCAGCCGATGGTCCGGCACATCCTCCAGGAACACCAGCACCACCGAGTCCCGGCTCTCCTCGATCAGCTGGTGCATGGCGTGGTGCACCTTATACCTGGGGAGGGAGACAGCGGGGGGGCGTTAACTGGGAGCAGCCTCACATTACCCTAACCCTAATCCCGTGTTTCCCATCATGCACTGGGGACTCATTATACACACAATGGGCTATTGGACCGACACCCCAAGATGGATGGATGAATGTATATAATCAAATAATCAGCCACAGAAGGACACGTTCCTGCATTTTCTCCATTACTATGTGTAAAAGTACCCTGCAGTGTGGAGGCGGCTCCGGTACGAAAAGGAAATGTCCCACCCTGCCCCCCAGCCAGGAAAACACTTTGAGTACCGAGGCTTTGAGATTTACAGAAGGAACATCGCCCCCACACAGAAATTAAAAGGGCAGCGTGAGCCGGCAGCTGACAACCATTAGGGGGCGCCGGCAGATGGAGAAATCAATGGGAGACCTCCTGCCTTGAGACGGCAGTGAGAATCACTTCCCCTGCTTCTACCGTTCTCACTTCTGCTAGCACGGTGACGGACAATGTCTCACGTACAGTGTACACCAGGGGTCCTTCAGGAGCGTCTCCGTGACGATAAACACTATCTTCCTGGATTGCCTCATCTTCTCCACTATACTTTCGAGTCGCGAAGTGCCCGGAGTAAAGTCACGATCCTCCAGGCAGAACCCAAAATTCTCCTCCTCCTCCAGTGGCAGGAGATGCCGATCCACCCACTTCCTGTCTTCCGGAGCATGTATCACATAGGCGTCATACAGGAACCTCTCCTCGCCCAGGTCCACTTCCCTGAAGCCCAGGGTGCGGCTAACCACCACCTTCCAGTAGAACTGTATCCTCCACCCCTGGAAGCGGAGCAGGAGGGCAGTGCCCATGAGGACCAGCACTGTGGTGCTGCTCAGCACGAACAGGGTCTGGAAGGGGGTCATGTCCTTGCACGACAGCCCGTTGAACCGTGTGACGGATTTATTGAAGTAAGCGGGGGGGGTGTTGCAGATGTAGGCTGAGTCACGCTGGGGTACACTAGCATTGGTGGTATTGAGCCAGTCCACAAACCAGAAGATGCTGTCGCAGGTGCAGTCGAACGGGTTCTGGCCCAAACGCAGCACGGTCAGGTTCCGCAGCACCGGCTGGAACACAGCCTGCGGAACCGAGGTGATATGGTTTTTCCGCAGGTCCAGGGAGCGCAGCGAGACCAGGTCGCTAAACACGCCGTCGTGCAGAAATTTCAGCACGTTCCCAGCCAAGCTGAGGTCCTGCAGCTGCCGGAGGCTGCTGAAGGCATGGGCCGGGATCTCGTCCAGGCCGTTGTAGTCTAGCTCCAGAACCGTGAGGTTCTCCAGGCCCTGCAGGAAGAATGTGGGGCCTTTGGGGGCGACGCTCTTCCACATGTCTGCCAGGTTGTTATGCTGCAATTTCAGCACTTTGAGTTGTCCTAGGCTGCTTAGTAGGTTGGCACTGAAGATGGCAATGTTATTGTTGCTAAGATCCAGCAGCGAGAGCTCCTGCAGGGGCAGGAAGGGGGACGGCTCAACATCCAGCTGCCCCAAGAGGGTACCCCTCAGCAGAAGCGATTTAAGAGTGGGCACACTGACGAACGACGAGGGCCTCAGCTGGATCTTCTGCTTGTTGAAGGACAGGCAGAGCTCCTGAATGCTGACCAAGCCCCTGAACTCAGCCCCGGTCAGGACCTGGGAGATGAAGTTGTCCGTGAGGTAAAGCCTGGTGAGGTTCCGCAGCCCGGAGAAGGCGTCGTCGCGGAGCAGCTTGATGTTTGCGGCTGTCAGGTTGAGCATGCGGAGTGGCGAGTCGGCCAGCGATGCAAACGTGCTATTGGTCACCGTGCTGAGGCCTGCCAGACTCCAAGACAGACTCAGGTTCTGCAGGCTCGACAGGCCCGAGAAGGTGTGTGCCGACAGGTTGTGCAATTTCGTTTCATCCAGCCAGAGGGACTCCAGGCGCTTCAGCGGCTGGAAGGTGTAGTCATCTATAAGGGCATTGTTCACCAACGCCCTCTGCAGTTTCAGTGACTTTAGGTTCCCTAGCCCTGTAAATGTGTCCTTGGTGAGATGGTAGAAACTGTTCCCCTGCAGCGACAAATCCTCCAAAGTGTGAAGCCAGCGGAAAGATCCGGAACCGATGGAGCTCATGCCATTGTGGGAAAGGTCCATGGAGGTGAGGTTGGTGTCCTGCAGGCCCATAAATGTGGTGTTGGTGACAGAGACAAGCTGCATGTTCTGCAGCGACAGCCAGCGGATGGCGCTGCCTGCAAGCTCCCGGGACAAATTCTCCACAAGATGCGGGCTCTGCTTGGTTCTGTCCAGCACCAGCTCTTCCAGTTCCCTCAGAGGCTTTAGGCAGCCTGGGTTCAGCTGTAGGTGGGCAGGAGATACAACGGGGTCACTGTACCATCATGTAGGAGATGGTGACATCGCGGCAGAACCACAAAGTGCCAGAGCAATGGTGAAGCGGCGGGCTGAAGAGAGAACGTGTGTGTGTGTGTGTGTGTGTGTGTGTGTGCAGTGGGAGCCACACTCACCTCCCTGAGTGGCAGTGAGGCCATCCTCAGCACCCGGACTGAGGACTGATTGAGCCAGGAGAAGTCATCTTTCTGCAGGATGAAGATTTTGTTCCCCGACAGCGAGAGCTGCTCCAGACTCCGCAGCTGTGGCTGTTTCCCCAGCCGAGTCGAGTTCAAACCGTTCACAGACACGTCCAGAGACGTCAGATTCTGCCACACAGACAGAACCTTTACATTGCAGGCCATCAGGCAGCATCTTAGTTAAAGCACCATACAACAGAGCAGCGTAGTTACAGATAAAGGATGGTATAGATAACCAGGATACTAGGAGCACATAGTGATGTGAGCAAGCAGAAGATGTTTGCTAGCAGAGTGGCTATTGATGAGTGATATCTGGGCTGGTAAGGACTTCTTGAAAGGTGATTTAGGGGTTAAGCACCCGAGGGCTGAGGGGCATCCCAGAGGGGTTGCAGGCGTGCTCACCTGCAGCGGCCTGAAGGGCTCCCCTATGAGCTTCAGCCGGTTGGAGGTCAGGTTGAGCTCCATCAGCTTGGAGCAGTTGAGAAGGTCCTGTTCCCGCAGGTTGCGAATCTCGTTGTGCTGCACGTGCAGCTGTGTCAAGTGTGGCAGTGCCAGGCACAGGCCCGCCTCCAGCGTCCGCACGTTGTTGTAGCCGGCCTGGAGCAGCCGCAGCCCCCAGTACCGGCCCAACACCGCCACGTTCAGAGTCCGCAGCCGGTTGTGTGACACGTCGAGGCTGGTAAGGTTACTGGGGAGGTCATCGGGGATCTGCAGGAGGTTCTGGTGGCTGCAGTCGGCCGTCTGGTTCACCACACGACAGCCCACCCCCCTCTGCCCACTGTAGCCAGAGCAGAGGGGCAGGAAACCTCCTAGGATCAGGAGAGCTCTCCACATGGCGGCACTCTCACACTGAAGAATAACATGATAATTAACAACTCACTCTTTGTGTTATCACTGCGCCAACACGTATAGGATTGCATAACCAGTGCTTGAAGTGGCCCAGTACTCACCGGTACTCAGTACCAGCACCTCTGTTTTTCTCTTCTGAGTACTGGCACCTCTCAGTATCTGCTAGTGCTGAATAATAAGGGATTACCGGCACCAAGTACTGAATAACAAGGGGAGTATCAGCGCGCAGTATTAAATAACAAGGGGAGTGGTGGCACCCAGTACTGAATACCAAGGAGAGTAGTGATACCTGGTACTGAATAATAAGAGGAGTACAGACACCAGGTACTGAATAACAAAGGGAGTACCGGCACCCAGTACTGAATAAATGGGGAGTACCGGCACCCAGTACTGAATAACAAGGGGAGTACCGGCACCCAGTACTGAATAACAAGGGGAGTACCGGCACCCAGTACTGAATAACAAGGGGAGTACTGGCACCCAGTACTGAATAACAAGGGGAGTGGTGGCACCCAGTACTGAATACCAAGGAGAGTAGTGGCACCTGGTACTGAATAATAAGGGGAGTACCGGCACCCAGTACTGAATAAACGGGGAGTGCCAGCACCCAGTACTGAATACCAAGGAGAGTAGTGACACCTGGTACTGAATAACAAGGGGAGTAGTGATACCTGTTATTGAATAACAAGGGGAGTACCGGCACCCAGTACTGAATAAACGGGGAGTGCTAGCACCCAGTACTGAATAACAAGTGGGGTACCAGCTCCCAGTACTGAATAAAAAGGAAGTGCCAGCACCCAGTACTGAATAACAAGTGGGGTACCAGCTCCCAGTACTGAATAAAAAGGAAGTGCCAGCACCCAGTACTGAATAACAAGAGGAATACCAGCACCTGTTTCTCCCCACTTCAAGCACTGCACGTAACCTTAAATATGTGTTAAACTAATAATAATAATAATATCTACAACTACAAGTATCAGAACAAGTATCAAACATCGTTAAATCTTTGTCCAATCATGTCGCAGAGTGCAGGTCACTTGCCACTTCGGTAAAGGGCTCCTTTTATCTCAGGTAGCTAAATTGTTCTTGCCATCTTGTTAGAAGCACTAACAAGACGGCAAAACAAATTTTTTTTCGTAGTTAACGTGTTTGCTGGCTAGCAGTGTCTTGGTTCTTCCAGAGAGACTTTCACGCAGAACCTAGCAGCCCCCCCCCCCCCCCCGTTTCCATTCACTTTCTGCATGTGGTGAGTGGACAGGCCAGCCACTGCGCCCCCTCCCATATGAAGTACGTCCCTAAGGCTATACCTTATTATTTATTAGCGCTAGTTGTGTATTGCTTGTTTATAGCGCTCAGATATACGAAATCATTTAAGTTATGCATCAGTGAGTGCTGCTATAATGAATTACGAAATTCTTCGTAATTCGTTTTATATTTTATAAAAAATATTTGGAATAAAACATTTGGCATAAAAATAAAATATTATAAATATGTCAGAGATTTGTTTATAAACAAAACACTTTCGTTTAAAGAAAAAATATCTACCACTCTGTCTACGTTAAATCGATTCATACAGTTGTGTTAGTAGAACTACGCTAATCGTGTCGCAGGGCTACTTAACCAGACACGGGCTGTTTTTCAGAAAACAGCTCGGTGTTTTTCTTTTTTTTACACAACTGTTGCGGATAGTCGGACGATCGACCTTGGGAAGCTGAGCACAGACAATCTGAGCAGTAACGCTTCACTCTTAGAGGTCGCAGCTGTTATGCAACAACATACTAATATAGCCTAATGACTCATAAAACAAACCTATACCGACTTCAGTGTTTTACTGCTCCACCCTTTTCACCTCAGATAGCTTAGTACTTCCGTAGCCTAGACTATATCCATCACCTATACAAATAATCATATTATGATAATATTCCAGATATAGGCCTAACGTGTTAATAATGTTACTTAAAGGCTTATGAGACTTTAAATGGTGTGCAAATTGCTCGATTCTCCAAATAAATGCTCTCAGCGGCAATAGCATGGGTACTTTCGAGCTAAAAAAATAATCACTACAACTGACAGCTCATAATGGCGTTGTATGAAATAAGCAATATGTACGGATATGAATCGGCACTGCAGGAAATTAGAAACACGGTTGCGGCTGGAAGGGCACTGGTCGTAATCTTCACACGGAAAAACGTATCACAGCGGCATGCGGAAGACATGATGTATCACTTTCCCAATGTCTGGCGGAGGTTTATCTGAATATACTGTATTCTTAGACACCTACGAGATCTAAAACACATTTAAAAATTAAAGTCTGCAGCTACTGTAAGTTTTACTTCAATTTAGGTATTCTAATCAATGACATGTTATTAGATTTGTGTAACTTTTGCATAGAAACTGACAATGACACCTACCTCGCTGGCAGTAAAAAAGCCCATTAATAAAGGCGCAGTTGGCATGCTGGAGGAAAAGGCGGAACTAATGGGAAACTTTACTTCGCGTCTCTGCCGAGGACCGGAGGCTTTGCTGCCTGTGTCGGTTCCTTTGCAACAATATTTTCACAGAAGTTAAAATAACTAAATCAAGGGGATATATTGTCATGTTCCCTATTTCCTTGGTGCCGTGCTTTGCTCAGTTTCGTAATAATTAAATTCACTTCCCCGCATTCACCACCACGTCACCTGCAGGTCTTTTGAAGCGATTTGCGGCAATTTTCTTCATAATCCATTAAAACCTAAAAATTATCTGCAGGCCACTCGTTTCGAATGTCACATTTGCACAGATGGTGGGGATCTCGCACATAATTGGCGCGGTCCTTTTAACGGGTGACTGTGGGAAATGATCACAGGATCAGGCCTTTGACGCGGCTGCATATTCGGTCCTTCTGTGTTACACGTTTCACTTAGGGATGGGTTTTAAACTGGCACCTCGAATATCCTCTCGACAGACAAGCCATTAAATAATTTGAATCTCACTTCCACTGTCCGTGACGGCTCTCTTTGCTTGTATAATTCAGGTTCAGACTATAAATAACCCTTGAGCTGGACGGTATCCAGGCTTCGACCTCACACCCTTCAGCATCCCAGTCCTGTACTTGGGCCTATCTGCTGCATAACCTTCTTTAGTGCCTTTATTTCTTAGCCAACGCACTAAAATATAGTTTTATTAATGAAGTTTCCAAAAATTGCTTTATTCAAAGGTACAACGGAAGCCCTGGGCCTTGATTAGCAATCTTAACCAGCAGGACCCCTGTCCTTCACCGTTACGCTACAGTAGTAGTGTGCATTTTACCCGCTTCAAACAGGAATCTGTAATTATATAATGAAGATGTAGTCTGCAACGCGCGAAAGTATGGGAAGTATGTAGTTAATGATGTTAACGGGGCGTCACGCGATCGGGTGATTTTAACAGTAAGTACATGGAATCTAATGCTGACTAGAAGCTTTGATTTCTGGTTTTCAGGAAGACTGATGACCTGAAAAGTTGGTACTTCGGCTGCTGTAACAGATCAGGGGCAGACAGGGAGAGGACCTGCACGCTTTCCAGCGGCAGCTAGGTGGCTTGGTCTCGGTGTACGCTAAATGTTACCGCGATATTAATTTAAATCTAGGCTGTTGCTGTCTGCTTTCTTATTCAGAATGTACTAGGGGCAGCAGGAAGATGTGTGTTTTGGTGTGTTTCCCGGGGGAACCAGGGCTGAAATACTCCCCCAGCCTGGGACTTCACTTCATAACGGGGTTTTGAATATTAATATTTCAAGTTTAATGTTTATTTAGGACTGTTGAAGTCGCATTTATTTATATATATATATATATATATATATATATATATATATATATACACACACACACACACTGCCCGGACAAAAAAAAAAAAGTCGCCTTTTGAATTTATATTCAAAATGCAAATACTTATATGCAAATACTTAAGAGCCAATGACTGGATCATTATTACAGTCCTGCAACGTTATGCAGCAATAAAGTAAAGTCAGCTGAGTACCTGAATCTACTGGGCAGGTTACGCCTCCATCCATCATCAATGGATGTTGGCATGGGCATATTCCAGGACAAGAATGCCAAGATTCATTGGGTTTGAATTGTCAGAGTGGTTCAGGGAGCATGAGGAATCATTTTCACGCATGACTTGGTCACCACAGAGTTGTGACCTTAACCTCATTGAAGATCTCTGGGATGTGATGAAGGAGGCTTTATGGAGTGGTTCAATACAGCATCTCAGTAAGAAATGAATGCAAATCTGGATGAAAATAAAGGGTGAGATGTTGCATAAGCCTGTGGAAACAATGCCATGACAAATGTGCACCAACATCAAGGCAAAAGACGGTCCAACTAAAAATTCCAATGGCGATATTTTTTTTGGCCGGGCAGTGTATATATAACTGGGGTGAATACGATTATGCAGAAAATGTTAAATCTGTAGTTAAAATATTGAACAATAGATGGCGGCATTGTATCACGGGCCTGGACGTCAATCCGGGTATTTCATTCACTGATTAACAGGGCCGATAAAGAACAAAGAACTGGAAATAACAGGCTCCCTGCTTCATGGGGGCCGGATATCTTTGTGCAGGTCAGACCGGTACAGCTAATACATCTAATCACTACACCATCTCTCCCAAATCCCAGGTAAATCCATTCCCCATAAATGCCACTTATTACCCTGGCAAGCCAATCAGCATCTATCCTTCAGTTGCAGGAGTTACATAACCAGGGAAATGCTTGTGTAACCAAACGGAGAGGAACGGGATGTAACACCGTTAAAAAAAAGTGGGCTGTGGAGGTAACAGAGTAAAGTTACTCCTCAGTGGCGGTACGGTAATGTGAGGAGTGTTTCTGACACCCCCTAGGATAAGGGGGTGTCCTGGGTGGATGGCCATCACCCCTCCTGGCCCATGTGGGGGCCAAGCCTGGGTCCCTGCTAGAGCCAGAGTGCCTGGGGGGCCCACGCCTGCTTTTTCAGGCGGTTTGGGACACATCCATCTACTGGGCTCCTCAATGAACTTGACAGCACATTAGGCTAATTGCACAGTCTACTGTATAAGGCTCCCTGCAGTATAGAGCCTACACTGCACGGGGAGGGGTTAAAAAACAGCCAGGATAAGCAGCATCTCCCTGGGGCAGGAGTGAGGGGGTAGACTGCCTGTGTATATGTTACGTAACCCCGGCTCACACCGCTTGGATCCCCCCCACGTCTGCATACCAGCCACCATGTCACCGTTTGAGCTGTGCAAAGGTGACAGGGGATTTAAGGCAGCAGCCAGAACAAGAGGGCTAATTAGGGGAGATAATCAAAGTAACAATACAAATAGCCCAGAGATGGAGTGAGTGACAGAGCAGTAAGGTCATGGGGTGAAAAGGCGTGATGGAGTGAGTGTTGGAGGAAGAAGGACATGGGGTGAAAAGGAGAGATGGAGTGAGTGTTGGAGGAAGAAGGACATGGGGTGAAAAGGAGTGATGGAGTGAGTCACGGAGGAATAAGGACAGGCAGTGAAAAGAAGACAAGGAGTGAGTGATGGAGGAAAAGGACAGGGTGAAAAGGAGAGATGGAGTGAGTGACAGAAGATTAAGGACATGGGGTGAAAAGGAGTGAGGAGTGAGAGATGAAGGAATAAGGACATGGGGTGAAAGGGAGAGAAGGAGTGAGTGATGGAGGAAAAAGGACAGGATGAAAAGGAGAGGAGTAAGTAATGGCGGAAAAAGGAGAGGGTGAAAAGGAGAGATAGAGCAAGTGACTGAGAAAATGATGGTAGAATAGAAAAGAGAGAGACACGTGTAGTGTGGAGTTCAGCAACCGGTAAGCTGGTATCTTCAAAGCAGACCTTGAAAACAAGGAAACAGGATTCTTGAAGAAGGCTGTGTGCAGAAGCAGCACACCCCAGGGCTTAGCACAGCGCTCCGGGCACAAAGCACACCCCAGGGCTTTTACTTCCTCTGAGTTCTAGGAATGAAGCAGTAAGCAGCAAGCGTCCTCACTGCTGCTCCTTAATGTCAGCATGGATTCAGGATGACAGAAAGCCGCAGATCATCAGCACCATGGCCTGTCGGCTGCATTACGCCCTGAGAATAGATCCAGCTCTTGCTATTTCCACTCATGGCTTAAACACATGTAAATAATTCAGCGGCTGCCTTCCACCTTTTGTGTGGCTCTGACAGGCAGGTTATTTTTAGGCTGCTCTGGGCGTGGTGTGTGTGT